CAGATCTGAGACTCAACAGTCTTGCACAATTCACTGCGCTTACCAGAGCACATACCCTCCCCAGTGTCTATCACCCAGTCACCCCATCCTTCCCACCCCACCCCACCACTCAAGCAACCCTCAGTTTGTTTCCTGAGATTAAGAATTCCTCATATCGGGTGGGAGGATGGGTTAGCCTGGTGGTGGGTATTGAGGAGGGCACATTCTGCATGGAGCACTGGGTGTTATGCACAAACAATGAATCATGGAACACTACATCTAAAACTAATGATGTAATGTATGGGGATTAACATAAGAATAAATAAATAAATAAATAAATAAATAAATAAATAAAATAAAGAATTCCTCATATCAGTGAGGTCATATGATACATGTCTTTCTCTGATTGACTTATTTCGCTCAGCATAATACCCTCCAGTTTTATCCATATTGTTGCAAATGGCAAGATTTCATTCTTTTTGATGGCTGCATAATATTCCATTGTATATATATACATATATATATATACTACATCTTCTTTATCTATTCATCTGTCGATGGACATCTTGGGAGCCAAAATTTTTAATAATGGTTTTTCCACCAAATAATGATGGGAGCTCAGGTATATTTCTCCCCACTCCAGCTTTATTGAGATATTATTCACATATATCAGATATATTTCTTACTCTTTGTGGGTCTCAGTGTCTTCATCTGTAAAATAAGATGAGGCCTCTTCCTGCACTAGTATTTTCTACATCTTGATGGACTGGGACGTTAAAAGGTCGGTTAACTTAGTAATTGCAGCCAGGACCAAGCCGTGGCCCCTGATGCACAGCTATGTCCGTGTGTGCATGCGTGCATGTATGTATTCTTTGCAAGAAACACTGTGCCAACATTATATCCTGAGATCTCAGAGCTGAAAGAGCAGATGGGAGGAGCATCTTCTTGGTTGGAAAAAGAGAGTTCTTACTCTTAGGGGAGAGATGATGGGAGGTAACCAAAGTTGTTGTGAAAGAAGTTACAGGGAATTAAGTGTCAAAAATCTAGAAATAGCAAGATTGAAACCACTAGATCACTAAAATATTAGTCAGAGTTTTTTGTGCACATAAAAATAGTTTACACCTGGGAGCTCTCAAATTGACAGTGGAATGAGGCTCAGAGGTATATTGTTATAAGACAGCTTATATAGTGAGAATGCAGAGGTTGTTTGTTATTTTCAATGATTATATCATTAGAGTTTTCCTAATGATTGAGGGTTGGTTAAAAGTTACCACCTCATGCCAGTGTGGGGGGACAGCTTGAATTCTTCATCCATGATTTTCAGAGACATATGCAAGAAGTGACCCAAGGTAATATTTATTTTTTTGCAGAATAAGCCAAGTTAAGTTTGGATTCAGTAATTTTCCTAATAGCATAATCAAAGTATCATTGTCGTTATCTATTTTAAAATCTGTGTTGTTATATATAGAAGCCCAATCTCCATCATTTGAATCAAACCAAAGTGTGTGATTATGAAGCAAGTCTAGAACCTGCCTTAAATTAGGTCCAGTACCATTTCTGTACAAGGTTTTCTATGTATAGGGACAGATTCCCAGAAATGAAGTTTGCAGTGGTTATGGGCTATCCTATGGCTTTCAAGCTTCCTCCCAGTACCAGATTAGTTGGCCATAAGTATTAAATGGCCAAGAGATGGTTACCAAACCTTTTTGTAAAGCCATTTTCCTGTCATCCAAGCATGTATAGGAGCTGGTTCTAATATTAACTGGAGTCTTCCTGAGCATTTAAGTGGGTACATAACCAACAATCATTTTGCTTAGTAAAGGAGGGTGTGCATTGAATGGTAGGCCTTAGTGGGTAGAGAAAATCCCTAACAGAAAAAGGAACATGACTGTGAATGTTTTGTGTTAGTTTGTAAAGCAGTAATATCACATTAATTGTTATAAAAATGAGTCCTGGAAAAAGATAAGGGATCTAGCAGAATCTTTTTCTGTGGTCTTCGGTGTAAGCTATCCATTTTGCCTTGTTTTCTGCTTCAAGGGAAGTTTGTTTGTTTGTTTTTCCTGGAAATCCTTAATTTTAAGTTAGCCATAGGTTGACAAGTCCAAGAATTGAGGAGCAGGGGGGTTCTCTTTAGTAGAGGGACATGGACCCGAAGTTCAATACCCTATAATTTAACTGCTGTGTGAAAAAATAGAACCTGGTAGAGCCCTTTTCCTCGAGGTATATGTGCTATTTTTCACTGATATCTCTTTCAGAACACACAGTCTCTAGGTTCCAGTGTAGGAACTATGAAGTTTTCAACAGGCAGAGGGTCTCTAAAAGCCTCCTTGACCTGTTCAATATAAGCTTTTGAATATTGCATCCATACTTTAAAGTATTGGGTCATAATAGAATTTACAAGAGCAGGATGTGCATGGGGTTCTATCATCAAAGGCATGGATTGCCTAGTGATAAATTCATAAGGTGTTAATTTATGTTTCCCAAAAGATGTCGACTTCTTTGTCTTAAGGGCTAAGGGTAACACTTTAGGCCAAGGTACTCCTGTGGTTTCAGTCACGTTTGCCAGTTTTAATCTTAGAATATCATTGGTACATTCAGCCTCCCCTAAAGACCGAGGATGATAGAGACAATGATAGTGCCATAATGTTTGAATAACCTTGTTTAATTGTTTTATAATCTGTCCAGGTAAAATGAGCCCTTTATCACTTGAGATTTCATTTGAGATTCCCCAAAATGGAAAACATTTTCTAGTAATTTCTCTGCTACTGTGGTGTCATAAGCTTGCCCACATGGGAATGCTTCTACCCATCTAGAAAATAAATATACCACCACAAGTACATATTGATAGCCCATAGAAGGAGACAATTGAAAAAGTATACTTGGGGGCGCCTGGGTGGCTCAGTTGGTTGGGCGACTGCCTTCGGCTCAGGTCATGATCCTGGAGTCCCAGGATCGAGTCCCGCATCGGGCTCTCTGCTCGGCGGGGAGTCTGCTTCTCCCTCTGACCCTCCTCCCTCTCATGCTCTCTGTCTCTCATTCTCTCTCTCTCAAATAAATAAATAAAATCTTTAAAAAAAAAAAAAGTATACTTGAAAATGTTCAAATGGTCCAGATATGGAGGAGCAGCCCCTAGGGTTAGTTTAATGATTTTACCCAGGTTATATGATTGACAGGTTAAACATTAATTTAAACTCATCATGCTAGTTTAGAACAATCACCCACGATTATTTTTTCTTAATTTGAGACATTTAGTCAGTTCCATGGCGGGTAGTCACTTGAAGTGCTTGCAAGAGTGGTAATTGAAGGATTCAGGAAGGACCATCCAGTCACATGTGCCTTCCAAAGTCCTCTTTTTATGATAAATTTGCATCCTTCTTGGTGCCACTTTTGTGATACAATTTTTTGCCTATTACACAAATTGTCTTAAGTAATCTGATTTGTATGTACAGTGGGCCATAGATTGTGGAAATTCAGGAAAATGCCTTTATCAAAAGGTTTAGTATCTATCCCTTGGCCATTTTATGGAGTTTATTTAAAGTTTTGGTACATTAGGAATCTCTTGAGTAGGAGCCTTAGCATGAAAGTTAGCCATTACATTTCCCTGAGAGGACATTTAAGACAGGAACACGGTGAGAGATTAGTGGAGGTTTGTAAGGATTCTGTTTCCCATAATTGGAAAAAATGTTTACTGAGAGCCTCTTTTGGGTTTGGCTGTGTACATAAGATGACTAAAATACTCCCAGCTCTGGAAGAGCTTAGTCTAGGAACCGGCAGCCGCCTATGATATGAGAAATATTGGTCAGAAATATGAATAAAGTATAGCATGGTCTAAAAGGTTCAAATAGGATCTGATGCTACCTGGGGAATGACCTGTCCTGATCTCCATTCTGGCTCTTTCTAAGGCCTGAATTACCTGTTCTAGACCAGTGCCTTGGGGCCTCAGACAAATTTCAGCTTCTCAGGAAACAACTAGCCCTTGTGCTCCCTGCTGGCTCAAAGTCTCCAAGAGAAACTGGTGAAATCGGAAGCCATGGGTTCCACTCTGGCACACCTACAGAAGCACAGAGGAATGTCAAGTTGGTGGGATGAATTCACCATTACCAGTCATGAGTGATGATCTGTCTTCTTTCTGATAAGACAAATGCTTTACTGGCATTGCTCTACTCATCCCAACTTTTAAAATAAAGTTCAATCCTGATCACATTTCTAAAAAGGCAAAGTAGTCATTTTACCCTCACTTTGGAGATGAAGAAACTGAGGCACAAAGTAGAAAATGACTTCCCAAGTTTGCATTGGGAAGGTAGAGAGAACACACTGGGGCTACAATCTGGGCCTGTTGCTTCCTGCTTCATCCATCCAGCCGCGTTGCCTCTCTCAGGAACAAGATGACCCAAAACCTCCACTTCCACTCTCCTCTGTAACAAATAGTCGCCATGTTGGCCAGGATATTATGGGACACTAAATTAGTTCACATCATTTTTTGGAGATCATTTTTCAGATCATTCTTCTGAACTCTATGAGCAAAACACTGTGCTGGTTCATTACACTGGAGCATACAGAAGTGGCAGAATACAATGGTTAAATTAAAGGAGCTTGAAGATGTCTCACCAGTGGAGCCTTGGCTATCTACAGGAACAACACAGATAGGTCCATCCTGGTGAGAGAAGAATGCTGCTGCCTAGAACAGTGGTTTCTTTTCTCACATGATGGTTTTCCTTTCAACTTTCCAATTAATGCCTGGCTTTGTTTACCATATTGAGATGGTTTATAAACTGAAGAGAGCAACCAGGAGCAGATTTTAAAGCAGAACTAGAGAAGAAAGTCTGGTTCCATTTTCAGAAGTACAGGGCTGGGGAAAGACATGTTTAGAAGGGGTCTTCCAAGCAGAAGAAAGCTTTGTGTCCCTTCCTTCATTCCCTTTACCAGATTCGGGTCACAAAACATGCGCTATATAATTCAGTGTAGGGGATTTTGGGGTGAAGTTCTGTAAGTGCCTTCTGCTGAAGTACCATACCCTATCAGTCACCTCTTTCCCTACTTACTGTTTCTTTTCCACTTTAGGAAATACCATTCCTTGATCCAGGATCAGGCTCGAGAGCTGACCCACCTGAGGCAAAAGATGAGGATGGGGAGAGCTTTCTCTTCCCTTCTCATCCAGCATGTCAGGAATACGGTGAGAACCTTTGAGGAGCTCCTTAGCAGCAGTAGAGTTGACCGCTACATGGAACAGCACTTCCGTGAGCAGCTGACCAAGGGGAGCCAACTGGCAGAGATCCTTACCAGCAAATTCAGCACAGGTAAGCTGGCCCCAGGGCTCAGGAGGACCTCTAGCCCCTCCCAAGGACCCAAGGCTCAGACAAGCCCACACTCACCTACAAGTGACTTTTCAATCTGACGTCCTGCTTTGTAGTCACCATCTTGGAACCATGGTGGAGTCAGAACTGGCTGGTGAGGAACAAAGAGGAGAAGCACACAGGAATGGGGATGCCAGGATGATGGCCAGCTCCTTTATCTCTCAGGGAATATGGTCGCTAGGGCAAAAGGCATCTCGGGGAGGGGGGGCGGTGATAGCTTTTATCTGAAACTAATGGGGGCAGCTGGTTGCTGTGAACAAGAGCCCTGAATTAGGATCTGGAGACCCTGGCCCTAGCCTGTATGTGTTCCTCACTAACTCTGGCCACGTTCATGCTTCTCTTGATTTAGGTTTCCTCACCTAAAAAAATTAGGTCAAATAATACCAGCATGATTGTTCTAAGGATCAAATCAGCAATGTTAATCAGTGCATTTCAAAAAAATGATAAAAGAATCATGCTGATTTAGGCATGGTTTAGACACTGTATATACTACTACCGGTGGTGGGAAAGTTAGTTATTTCAGGTGCCTTTTTCATAGAATATTCCCTAGGGGCGCCTGGGTGGCTCAGTTGGTTGAGCGACTGCCTTCGGCTCGGGTCATGATCCTGGAGTCCTGGGATCGAGTCCCACATCAGGCTCCCTGCTCAGCAGGGGGTCTGCTTCTCCCTCTGACCCTCTTCCCTCTCATGCTCTCTGTCTCTCATTCTCTCTCAAATAAATAAATAAAATCTTAAAAAAAAAAAAAAGAGCACCTGAGGGCACATAGTAAGAGCAGGCTTGAGGCCACTCTGTGGCCTACCTGAGAGGTAGGACAGGGAAGTCTGTCACCTCTACAGAGACAAGAGTAGGTTCTGCATGAAAGCTGTGATAAGGGCATACAGATGTGGGACCGGGAACCAGCTTTGTGGCAGGACTTGGAGGCTCCGGTTGAGACAAGTGTCTCATGGCCTGTAAGAAAAGAGACATTTTTAGCTTTTGATTCTGACCCAGGACAGAGCAAGTAGAGATGATGATCTCTGTAGCAGCCTCAGGAAAGCCTGCCAGGCAAATTCTCCAAAGTCTCAATCCAACGTCTCCTGAGAAAATTCAGAGCATCCCGGACTGGAAAATCAAGTAGTCACATCTGATCCCAGAGAAAATTCAGTGTCTGTCTGTAATCTGGGGAATGAGACCTACTTAAATTATAACTCGTTCTTTTCGAATCTGGTTTTCAGGTAACTGTACAAGTGAGAAGAATCAAGCAACACAGATGCTGCGGACCCTCAGGTAACTCCCAACTTTCAGGGGCTGTGAAACATATAATGTGATGAAGGATTTAGAAGCAAGGGACAGAAGCTCAAAGAAGCAGGAGGTTTCACACCCCACAAAAAGCAAAATGGCTGATTATAACATCAAATCAGTATGTGTCCCTAGTGATGAAGTGGTCTTGTTTCCTATTTTTTTTAATTTATTATTATTTTGGTCCCATTCTCATATTAGTTCACCAACTAAGCAATACTAGCTGCTCTATTCAGTCTTAGGAGTCTCCTGTATCCCCAGGGGCCCCCTCTGATTTCCCCTAGATCTTTAAAGACCAGAGTGAGATTGTATCTGGTTTCTTCAATGGTGACCCCAGAGGTGCTGGCAGATGTTAAATATCCACAAATTTTCCTCGCAAAAAAAGAAAAGAAAAAGATTTATACTGTATGACAGGACTTCAGGAAGGAGGTCTAGAAACTACAAGACACCTGGGAGGCCACATTGCCTCGGGAAGCAGTTTTAAATAGGCCACAGCAAATACTACTGAACGCATCATGTTCACGGAGTATGCTGAACTCTCAAGGACATCTGGTTGTCTTGTGAAGGAGCCAGGAGCATTATTGAAAGGGCTGAATGGGTCTTCTCTCTTCCTCAGGATGTCTGTGGCCAAGGCACTGGGCAGCCGTTGTTCTCCCCTAGCCCCCGCTCTCCACCCCCAGACAGAAACCAACTGTTCGGCTTCTCCTCCGAAGGAACAGTCTCCTTGACTTCTGGCGCTTGTCCTGTGAGCCGCCAGATCATTACAGCCATGTCATTCAGGTGACCTTTATTTTTCCTCTTTCTTACCCCACCAGTCTCTTAAGGGAGATGCATAAGAAGGGTAAAGTGACAGAAATCCTAAGGACCAGGCAGGAGGCCCAGCCCCACACTCTGCCTCAGATCCACTCCAGCAACCATGGCCAGTCTGCCACCCATCTGTCCTCCAGCAGCACCTCCCTGCTTCATGAAGAACAAGAAGAACGCCCTTCAGTGGATGTGGCCAGTGAGTGCCCTTACCGTGTCCAGTTGCTAGGTGCTTGCTCCTTTGTCTACACCAAAAGTAGGTATCTTTGCAACCAGGCCCTGCAGATCCACTGTGGTGTCCCTGGTAGAGCCTGGGCCCGGGACTCAGTGCCAAGCATAGGCCCCAAGGGGGTCAGGTAGCTCTTTTCCATTCCTAGACCCACACGGCCTCAGCCACCAGACCCCCTCTGGCACGGACATGGTGTTGGACTTGAGGGGAGGAGTCATGAGTTGGGAAGGGGAAGGGGCAAACACTTCCTCATTACTGCAACCCAGTCATGTCATCTTGCAGGTCACGGGCATGAACATCATTAACACTGGGCCTCTGATCTTGAAATCCTTGGGGTAAACAGTCATGGTTCCTATTTTCTGTTTACCACTACATATTCTTTCTCATTTGTGGGTTTGCAGATCCCATCCATCATTCTAATAATTCAACTGTAATGTCCTCAACCCTCATTAGCTGGGATGTGTCTCGGGTTCAGGCTGAATCCATCACCAGCCTGCCCCTCCCCCAGAGTCCCCCAAGGAGAGCCCTTGGGTAGCCGTGGTGGGAGGTAGGTGGAGGACAGTACATTTAAAATCAAACCCTCATTTTCTCCTGCTCAGTTTTCTCTTTAACTTCCCTCCCGAGAAAAAACATTTCTATTTTTAAGGAACTATAGCAATCAAATCCTGGTGTAGACAACACCGAGAAACCATCCTTTGTCTCTGGGTATATATGATTTTTTTTTTTTCCCTGAATTGACTGTTTTAGGCAATGAATGAGCCATAATGGGTTTGACCTGGTACTATTCCTGTTTCTCATTTTACCCTGAGGATGAGAGCAGCATAGTGTTTCCCTGAGAATTATAGAAACCAAGGAAAGAGAGGAAATTCACATGGATTGAGCACATACTTAATGCTCACATTATTGACTATTTTACATCTCTTGCCTCATTTAATTGGCACAAGCATCCACCTCGTAGGTGCTGGTGTCCCAATTTTACAACACAGCCAAGTACACTGAGGCTCAGCGAAGTCAGGGAACTTACTGAAGAGCGCCCAGCTTGGCGGTGCCATTCACTGGGAGCCTGCATGACTCAAAAGGTCAGACCACCCACTGCACTGCAGCGTGAACAGCCAGGGACAGAGCAGGGAGGGAATCACCTCTTCCCACACCTCTTTTGCTGGGTTTCTGGAGCCAGTGTTGTCCCCACTCCACTCTTTGTGACAAAGGTCTAGCCTCTGCACGTGAGACAAGACCCTATACACACTGCACTTTCACCCAAGAATTTATAAATAAATGGGCTGTCCTTGATATGTGCGTGATCTCCTCCAAGGGGTCAATGGGGTTTTACCTACATCCATGAACTCAGTTGCCCAAAGGCACTTGATTCCCCCTCATTGCTACCCTGAGAGACAGTAGAAGGGCAGACTCCACTTCCCCTCAGCTGCAGTTCCTGCCACGACTTGTAGGAATGGTCACACTTGAGATGTGGCCTCTGAGATGGCATCAGCTTTATTTTCTGCCACCTCTAGCTTTTCTGAGGGAGACTGAAGCCCTTTTTTCCATCTGAAGTCAATATCCTCTCAGAGGGGCAATGGCTTATCACTTGCTCCTCCTTTGCTTTTTGAGCCAAAACTTCTAGAGTAGTTAACAAAAAGTGTGACTGGTGTGGCAGCTTCCCTGTGAGGCAAAATTCTCCTCACAAGGGGCTGTTCTCCGTTGCTTTCTGTGTACAGTGTAGGGCATGTTTTCTGTGTTGTGTGGCCAGGGGAGACATGAGAATGCTGATTGCTGTTACTCCTATGGCCTTGGTTGAGAGTAAGCTGGTTTTCTGGAGAGGGGGGTAAAGGAGCTTTGGAAGGGGCTGGGAATCACCTTTTGGTTGAGTTCTTACATTGCTGGGCATTGTGATGAAGGCTTATGTAGTTTACCTTCCTCTTTATTCCACAGTGATGCTAATTACATCTGGTATTAGGTAATACCATCCATAAAGGAAGGAGAAGACCCATTGGATATTGATTTAAGTGCACAGTTCCCTAGAGGAACTTGACTTGGTTGAAGGGAAATAAGGACTTCACTCTTACCTGCTCATTGGAGAAACTTGTCTACTCTGTGGCCCTTGATAATAATCCTTGAAAGGGAGCTGACTCATATTTTTAGCTGAATTATGGCCCTGCCACCCAAGTGGGGTTTTTTCGCAAAGGGAGACAGCAAAAGGCATAGCCAGGTTCTCATAGCATAATTGATGCTATGATTTTTGGTTCTACAATCCCCCATGCAGGAATAACCCAGGCATTCTTTGGACAGGAGTTAGACAATCTAAACTATACTTAAGAATTATTTTTACAGTTTCGTGAGCCATTCTGGGTGGGATCCAAATCACCACTTGCCTTCCTCCGAGACTCCCTCAGCCTCAGTAGGCATCCAGAGTAGGAGGCAGGAGGAGTGGGAGGAACCAGGAGTGTCACCCTACCCTGTTTAAGTTCTTTGTACATTGGCTATTAATGGAAGCCATTTTCCCTTTCTCTTCCTCCTCCAACAACCCCCAATACAGAATAGTCTCATGAAGGGCATCGACTGTTTGGTGAGTATATTACCTGTTCACAGACCAGCAAAACGCTTCATCTCCTTAATCTCATGATTTCTAAGATTGGCAGTGAGTTCTGCTCCTGGAGGAGACACTTCTGCAATACCTCTCGGATCATTCCAGCATTGGGAATCATGGAGGGATCCAGGAGAAGAGCACTTGTAGTTTTCTTGTGCATGCACTGTAACCCTCAGATACTACATCCAACCACTCCTTCTTTGTTTTTCCTTTTTTTTTAATTCAAGTATAGTTAGCATACAGAGTTATATTAGTTTCAGGTGTACAAGAGAGTGATTCAACAATTCTATGAGGCTCCTGGGTGGCTCAGTCAGTTGAGTGTACGACTCTTGGTTTCAGCTCGGGTCATGATCTCAGGGTCATGAGATTGACCCCCACATCGGTCTCCATGCTTGGCATGGAGTTTGCTTAAGATTCTCTCCTCCTTTTCCTCTGCCCTTCCCCCATGCTCACTCTCTCTCTTTCTCTCTTAAAAAACAAAAACAAAAAACAATTCCGTACTCAGCGCTCATCATGATAAGTTTACTCTTAATCCCCTTCACCTATTTCACCCATCCCCCCACCCACCTCTCCTCTGGCAACCACCAGTTTGTTCTCCATATTTAAGAGTCTGGTTTTTTGTTTATCTCTTTTTCTGTTCATTTGTTTCTTAAATTCCACATAAGAGTGAAATCATATAGTATTTGTCTTTCTCTGACTGATTCCACTTAGCTCCTTCCATATTGTCACAACTGGCAAGATTTTGTTCTTTTCTATGGCTGAGTAGTGTTTCATTGTATATAAATACCACATCTTCTTTATCGATTCGTCTATGGGTAGACACTTGCTTCCATAATTTGGCAATTGTAAATAATGCTGCAGTAAACATAGGGGTGCATATATATTTTCAAGTTTGTGTTTTTGTTTTCTTTGGATAAATACCCAGAAGTAGAATTACTGGATCATACTGGTAGTTATATTTTTAATTTTTTGAGGAACCTCCATACTGTTTTCCACAGTGGCTGTACCAGCTTACATTCCCACCAACAGTGCATGAGGGTTCCTTTTTCTCCACATTCCCACTCACCAACACTTATTTCTTGTGCTTTTTATTCTAGCTATTCTGGCAGGTAGGAGGTGATATCTCATTGTGGTTTTGATTTGCCTTTCCCTGATGATGAGTGATATTGAACATCTTTTCATGAATCTGTTGGCCATCTGTATGTGTTCTTTGAAAAAAACATCTATTTGTGTCCCCTGCCCATTTTTTTATTGGATTATTTGGGGAGTTTTGGTGTTGAGTTATATAAGTTCTTTATATATGTGGATATTAACCCCTTATTGGATACATCATTTGCAAAATATTCTCATTCAGTATGTTGTCTTCTTGTTTTGTTGAAGGTTTCCTTCACTGCACAAAAGCTTTTTATTTTGATGTAGTCCCAATAGTTTAATTTTGCTTTTGTTTCCCTTGCCAATGGAGACGTATCTTGAAAAATGTTGCTGTGGCGGGGATGCCTGGGTGGCTCAGCCGTTAAGCGTCTGCCTTCGGCTCAGGTCATGATCCCAGGGTCCTGGGATCAAGTCCCACATTGGGCTCCTTGCTCAATGAGGAGCCTGCTTCTCCCTCTCCCTCTGCTGGTCCCCCTGCTTGTGCTCTCTCTCTCTCTCTGACAAATAAATAAAAGTCTTAAAAAAAAAAAAAAAAAGAAAGAAAAATGTTGCTATGGCAGATGTCAGAGAAATCACTACCTGTGCTTGCGGTCTCTGATATCTGCTTTAGTCTTCATTCCATGGATTACTGTATTCATTTTTTAAGGCTGCTGTAACAAAGTTTCACAGACTGTGTGTTTTAAAACAACAGATGTTTGTTCTGTCCAAGTTCTGGAGGCTAGAAGTCTGAAATCAAGTGTTATCAGGGCCATGCTCCATTTTCCTTGCCTCTTCCTAGTTTAGTGGTCTCTGGGAGCCTCCCTTGGCTTGTAGATGGATCACTCCAGTGTCTGCCTCCTGACTCCCTCGTCATGGGGTCTTCTCCCGCTGTGTGTCTCTTTATCTGTGTTTCCTCTCCTATTCTTATAAGGACATTAGTCATATTAGATGAAGGTCCACCCTAATCCAGTATCATCTCATCCTAACTCATTACATCTGCAAAGACCCCATTTTCAAATAAGGTAACATTGTGAGGCTCCAGGTGGACATGACTTTTTGGAGGACACTATTCAACCCAGTATAATTATCTTTAAAACACTTCATTTCTGACTTCCCATTGGTTTCTCCCTCACGTTCCTTTCTGGACAGATGTCACCCCAGCCACTCTTGCTGATTCAGCTTCATTGCTCAGCAACCATCCAGATGCCAGATCTGCCCAGCCCTCCCATCCTCTGAGTGGCACCACACAACTGAGCAGGACAGCAGACCCAGGGCACTGGGGCAACTGTGGCCCATGGGACGAGATGAGGCCTCAGAAAATGAATGCGTCTGGGCACCTATCCTCCTTCTCCTCTTTGTACCGGCCCAACTCCAAACCCTCTGGTAAACACAAAGGAGCAGATGGTGAAGTAGAGCCCATTGATGGGAATGAACACATTCTTTGCGGGCCCAAGGATTTTTTTTTTATTTCTCTGTTAGATCCTGATTCACAGAACTGGGTGAGACGAAGGGGGCAGTATCCTGTGGCTCAGCCAGCAAATGAGATGCCAGCCCAGTGCTGGTCCTTTCCAAGTGCCTCTCCCATTCCCCCTACAGAGGGATTCCCTCTGAGCAGGAGAATACAGGAAGTTGGGGGCATTCTGAGGTATTCCACAGAGAGGATGAGTTGCTTCACATTCATGTGTTCCCTTTTCTCTGTGCTATAATCTTCCTAGGCCTAGGTTGAGACTGTTCTTAGAATTCCCAGCTCAGGCTTACATGGGAAAGGTCTTCCTTAGGTCAAGAGCTATTTATTGTAGGATGGGAGACTATTTCTATAGGTACACACTCACACGCTCTTTGTATGCAACTATAAGTCAGTCTTGCCACTCAAACTTTGCTATTGAGTTTAGAGCCAGGCATCCTGGCCACCAGTGACTAGAGATGCAGCCATGAAGAGGAATGGCTTGAAGCACCTCAGTTTCTAGGACCCAGACAGTATAACAATAAGACATGTGAAATTGTCAGAGAAAAACCTGGCCCTAAGCAAGGTGTCCTGATAGGTGAAGCCCATTCTTGGTCTCTTTCCCCTTCCCTTTGTGCATCCCTTGCCTTCCTCAGAGGTGCCACCTTCTCTCCTGTTCTTCCTTCAGGTCCTAACAACTCCCCAGGCCCTTCCTTGTCACTCTTCACCAAAAGTGGTTAAAGAAAACACTCAGTATCACATATTATTCACTGCCTGATTTAATTTCATATGCATTTACCTTACCTTTCTATTGGCGGGTGGATGTTAAAGATTTTCAGTCATGGATCATCAGGTAGGATAGGTATGAGGTTAGAGAGAGAGGCCCTCTGGATTGCTACCAAAGGAGGTAGACTAACTTTCTCACTGTTAGGCCAATCCTACCTGGAGGCCTGTAGCAGATTTTAACCCTTGTTTTCCAGCCCAGTGTCCATCTCCCTCAGATGTACTCGGCCTCTATCTGGGAGGAGGCCCTGTGGGGTTTCCTTACAGAGGGCCATCTTGTATTTGAAAGCCCAGGAGCTCTTTAAACAAAGTTGCCTGGTGCTTCCTGGGTGCCCAGGTGAGAGAAAGAAGTTGACAGAAGTACAGGGATGGGCAGGGATCTTGCACAGAAGTTCTGGGTGGGCTCCATAGCTGCCCACGAGTGGTTGGCTTCCCCCACCCTTACCTCTCCCGTGTCTTGGTGGGAAGCAACAGGGGCTGACCTACTGGAAAAGAATCTTGTGGAGATCCAGAACCTGCGCCAGCGCCTGGAGGAGTCCATCTGCCTCAACGACCGCCTGCAGGAGAGGCTGGAACACGTGCTCAGCTGTGCTGACAAAGGAAAAAGTAGGAAAGGCAAAAAACTGGTTCTGCCCACAGCTAGAGTCTCAAAGGGCACATAGATTCCCAGTTAAAAGGCTCGTCAGTGTGCATGCAATACTAGCCTTCCTCACAATCTGCCCTGAGAGGGAAGCAGGGCATGCTCTGTTGTCCCCACTTTATAATGAAGGCACTGAGTGTTCTGCCCCAGGCAGGCCTAGGTCTCATGCTCAGGGCTGTCTGACACAGTGCCATTCTTGTAACTCCTGACACTACCTGCTGATGCACCTGGCTTATGGCCTGCCTGGCACGCGGTAGAACCGAGATGTCCAGGATGCCCCCTTCAGCAGAGGGAGGACCACATCCCACTTTCTTACCACTGCCGCATGCCCTGGATACCACCTTCTACTGCCCATATGTGAAAGGTCCATATTCCCAGACTTTCCACATGATGCTGTCACTCGGAGACCAATACTTGCACATCCCTTCTCCTTTGCCAAGCTCAGAAGAATGGCGGCCAGGGCCCTACAACATGCCAGTAGCAGCTAATTCATGGGCAAGACTGTCCCACAGCTGCAGCCATTGCACATGAGTGTTTGGCCCGCTGTAGTGTGACTCGGCCACACCACGTTGTTGTGCCAGTGCATGAAGCCCCCAGGTTTTCTGGCTAAGCCTCTAACTTTGGTGGTTGCAGTGAAGTGTATCTTTGAGAGCATCTGTTTCCCAAAGGTATGACTTGTCTGGGTTTTTTAACTCCCTCTGACAGTATCCACATCTGGCTTCCATGGGTAGAACCCGGAGTCTGTGCCTCAGCTCTACCACAAGAGAAGGGCCTTTGGGAATGCAAACTGGAGTTTTCAGGCTTACACAGGGCAAACCCCAAATCTGGTCACTTCCGTGTCCCCCCTTTCCACAGCAGTACCCAGTTGCAGAGACAAAGAGAAGAGGGTGGAAAGTACAAAAATTGCCCGGACCCACATGGGCCAAAATTGTAATAGTTATTCTCAATTTGGATAAGGCTGCTGCTTAGAAGGTCCGGACCTCCCATCGACACATCCCTAGCAATGTAGGAGCGAACGGCTCTGGGAAATTCACATCTCATATATTGGTCCCTTGCTCCAGCTTTGCAGATAACCAGGAGTCACTAGCTGTGAACTGGATAGCAGCTTGGTGCTCTCTCCCTCCCTTTCCCACTTCCAGCTGAGTGTGAATAAGGAGGGAAAGGAATGTCAGTTTGTTTCGAGTAGTCAGTGAAGAGTTCTCTACGTCCCTGCAGACATCACTGGTGCTCTGTCTCTCCCTCCCTAGGCATCACACGGTCCGCTCCAGGTGTCTCCCTGGCAACCCCTCATTCATACGCTCAGAGTCACTCTTCCGGCTCTGCTCAGGACATCTTGTGACATATGATGTCTGGACGGTCTAGAAGAATGTTCTCCAGAACTTTTCCAGCCCTATCCAACAGCATTCTTGGCTATGAACTTGGAGGCATCGACATCGACTTTTAAATGAATGGATCAAATTAATAAATTCTTACTTAAAAATTATTGTTTACGTGTATTGAATGCCTATATAGAGTAAAATTTGTGAGGAAAGAATAAAACCCATAATGGCCAGAAATTCATAGAAAAGGTTAAAGGAAAAATGGGTTTTCTCTATTAGCTATTTCTTTATTATTATTATTATTATTATTATTATTATTATTATTATTATTATTTGCAGAACACTTCTTTATTACAGCAACACATAAAGCAAATATAACTTTAAATGTTTATGAGTACAACTGTACATTATTATGACTGCTGGTTTACTCAGTTTGCTCAAATTTGGAGAAATAGCTTATATGTAATTCTTGAAATTCACTGACCTTCTTTATAAAAATGTGGGATTGAAATGCATGCACACATTCTTAAGAGTATATAAATTTTCATTCTCCTGACTTTATTCCCAGTCTCGGCATTTTCACACATCCTTGGTGAGCTAACCAAACTCAAGGCCTTTTGTTACTAAGCGAACCGGCAAGGTTATGTGTGCCAGGGGCAACATCCTTAAAAGTTAATGAACAGTAACTGCTGGTCACCAATAGATTTTTGACCTAGTTCCTTCTTCTTGAGGGCAAACGAGCTTTCACCTGGGCATTCAGTCCAACCCCTAAAGACTGATGATCCTTCAAACCCCTCCTTAGAAGTACTTCATTAAATAGCCATTTCCATTTTAATAGTAGGGTGAGAATTATACTCCTCAATCTGAAAGTCTTCAGCCTTGAGGCATCGATTGTCTCAACTTTTAGAAGCATTTTGAGGTTTTCGGCAGCTCGATGTGATTCAGGTAAATATGTGCATCTCCCAAAGTAATTATGAAGTTAGCTGGCTTCAGGCCTGTGATGTGTGAGACTGTGTAGGTGAGCAGGGCCTACACAGCTGGTGATGAAGGGCACACCCAGGCCCATGGCTTGCGACCTGTGGCAAACCTGGCAGGACAGCTCACCATTCACCGCATAGAACCGGCACAGGGCGTGGTGTGGAGGCAGGGTCAGGAGAGGAAGAGCCTTTGGATTCCAACCACACAGGATGATTCTTCTGTCACCAGGGTTGGTTTGGATTGCGTCAGTAGCCTTCTGCAGTTGGTCTACTCCTTGACCTGAAGAATCTGAATTCTTATTTTTGTATTTGGTTCCAAAACACCTCCAATGAAAGCCTGACCTGGAGTTAGTTTTCTCCTTAGCACCGGGTTTATGGACCTATGCAGTCACTGGTCTCCCAGGTGCATCCTCTAGCCTCCTTGAAAGCTGTCTTCACCTGGAGGACTTTAGAGGATGCACTGGAGGGAAGCCAGTCCAGAAATAGATGCAGAGGGCAGGGTTTCAAGACCTAGAACATCAGATGCCTGAGGTCTCCTTACCTCTAATAGTCTGTTCCTCTCTCCCAGGGAGAGCCAACAAAGACTTTAACTCTGGGCTTTCAGGAAAAAGTATACACATGGGAAAGTTCCCTCGAAGAATAATGGACAACTGAAGACCAGCATTCAAGAGGAGAGCCTCAAGAGGTTCATTCTCAATGAATGCCAAGAAAATGGAACGGGGAAGAGGTGGGCTTCCAACACTCCACCTGGGCTGCTACAGGTTCAGCGACCTTTGAGGTCAGAGGGTACAATGACAGGGAGAAAACTAGCTCAGGTGTGTCTGAACCGCCTGTAAAATGGGTAACTGTGGATTCAGGGAAAGGAGAGCAATGGAGGCAATGAGAAACAACAGAAGAATGAATAAATGAGAGAGAAGTGCTTTGGAAAACACATGCCATGTCAAATTTGGGACCAGATTGCAATTCTACTTAGTTGTACTAGTACAATGATCAGGTCACATGCTATTTTGAAGAAGTCAAGGACTGAGACCAGTCCACCAGCCAGAGTCACGGAGCCTGCCTTCCACCCACTACATATCCAGGGAGCCATAAACTATTTATTGCTTTGCGACCTGCTTTTTTAGCTCATCATAACACTTCTGAAATTCTTCCTTGTTGTTGCATGTATTAGTCATTAGTTTCTTTTTATGGTTGAGTACTATTTATTATATGAATATCCCACAATTTGCCCATACCCACGTTTGTGTCCTTCTACTTTCCATCTCCACCCCAACCATCCCCCTCCTTGTCTCCTTACTGCTCTATGCACTGTCTCATTATCATTCTTTTTTACTTTGCCTTTGTTATATCAAGTTTTCAGTATGGCAAAATGCAACTCAATGAATCTTGAAGGCATGAAAGATAGGGGAGTTAGCTATAATTTAGCTTGGATAAAGGGAGTCCATGGGCCAGTTTTATAAAAACGCACAAAGAGGGGCACCTGGGTGGCTCAGTCAGATGGGTGGCTCAGTTAAGTGTTTGCCTTTGGCTGGGGTTATGATCCCAGGGCTCCTTGCTCAGGGGGGAGTCTGCTTCTTCCTCTCCCTCTGCCTACCGCTCCCCCTGCTTGTGCTCTCTCTTCCTGTCAAATAAATAAAATCTTTAAAAAAAATGCACAGAGATGCAGGAAGGTAAAATAATAATTATTAAGACAGTCATGGTCCTAAGGGAGAGAATGATTTGTTGTCAGAAGGCAGAGCATTATCTTTGTGCTTTAGTGGGAAAGAAGGCACATCCAAGGAAAGGTGAGATTAAGGAATTTAGGTTCTCAATTTTGGCTGCACCTTACATTCACCTGAGGAGCTTTAAAAATGGTTATCAAACCTTATTAGAAATTGAGACTTATTTGATCTGGGATGGAGCTTGGCCTTGAGAGTTTTAAATTCTGGACAGATGATTCTAACAAACAGCCAGGAATAAGAATTGCCTAACATTACAGATAAACCAGCTACAAACTGTCCCAAAATGTGCATCTCCTTCACAGCAACGCTGAAAATCAGGCCATTTATGCAATTTGCATTTGCCCGTCAGGAGTGATGGTTATAGAATCTGGAACAAGGATCAGTGGAAAAGCAACAGATGAATCATGTCAGTTGTGTTTCCCACACAGATATCCTCCTTCTAGAGCCATGTTGCTTAAATTTTCCTGACCACAACCCACAATAAGAAACACATACCACACTGTGACTCTGTTCATACAACATGTAAAATAGTTAAAATTTTGCAAAATTATACTTACCCTTACTACATACAATGCACTTTCATAATTTCCATACTAAGTTGATTTCCTGATCCACCCATGAATTGAGAACATAGCTTGAAAAACATGGATTTAAAATGTTTTCTTTAGGCATATTTTAAAAGAGAAGTATTAGGTCTTACTGGCCTCTACAATCCTCTAAATAGGAATTAAAACATATAAAAACATTCTTATCAATATGCTATCCTTTATCCTGCCATAAGAAATTAAGAAACTAAGAGGAAACCATTCTCTGATGAGTAATTCCAAGGACGATAGGAGAGAGAAATGGCTTAAAGTGCAACAGCTGAAGCTTTTCATGATATTCTTAGAATGTTCCTACAGTGTAATGAAATGCAAAGTCCCTTTGGAGAATGGTGATCTCCAGGTAAAAATGTGGTAGTCATGGTTTAGCTAATTTGTTTGCCAATTCTTTTTTGCTTTCTCTGACGGTTCCTTTCTTTCCTGAACCTCTTCAGAAAAATAAGACTTCTGTGAAGCCTTATTTCTTGTCTCCACAAAGGTGGCCCATCAGCCTCTGATGACTGTTGGCTCCTTCCAGATTGGAACCTTTCATCTCTCTCCCACCAGATTCTCCTTTCTCACCAAATGGTTGTGTGTCCTTAGCTACTCCCTCAGCCTCCTCGAACCACTGTGCCCTATTCTGTGAACGATGGAACAGGACTTATTTGATTCTGAAGGTGCACTAGCTTTTACATTCTTGGGCTCTTCATTGACCCCTCTCCCTTCTCTTTAAATGGAAAGGGAAATCTAGTTAGAAGGTGTGTTCACTGTAAAATTTAACAAGCTGTTCATATATGTGCATATTCAAGATTAAGCACCTCTCTTCCTCCTGAAAAAGAGAGGAGGCCATCACTTTCTTTAGGAAAGAAGGGTCTGGAGAGTAAACTGGC